AAGCAATATAATGTTCAGTTATTTTTTAAATTTTCGGGGATGAAAGTAAAACTAAGTTAATATTGAGTTGACGCATTTACCAACAGAATGGATCAAATAAGAGCTGAGAATTTTTATGAACATGCATATTCCATCCCAAAACCAATACTTTCTCAGATTTGAATCGATGCTTAAAAGATAAATGTTTTTAGTATTGTTAAAAATAATTTCATCGAGATTTATAAATTTTTAAAAATTTATAACAGATTAAACAAAGTTGATACATTTTAATGGAACTCCTACAATATTTTTCTTTGATACCTTATTTAATCATTTTAATTACACATTTATAAAAAATATCGTCATGATGTTTTTCTTATTTTAATTTTATAATACACAAAAAAGCTTTCATTTGTTGTAATTTTAAATAATATTTCGTTGCTATAAAAAACATTAATAATCACCCATAGTAACCGAAAATTGTATAATTTGATCAATAAATTTAGAAATAAAATTTTCAGATAATTTATATTTTTTTATCTTAAAAAAATTTTAAATAAATTTTAAAATAAAATTTTAAAATAAAAAAAAATTTGACATTATGTTTAAACCCTCCAGTACTTTGGTTAATGTTTAAATTTCCAAAAATGTTGTCCTCAGCAAAATAAAAATCTAAAATTTTTCCAACAAAAATTTTGTAGTAATGCGTTTAGTTTTCAAATAGTTGATTCAATAAAAAGTGAAAACTAAAAATAACAATTTTGACTGTTTTATAGTAAATATGGGACGTTTCCTTTTATTGTGAGAATTGTTCATAAGATTTATATATTTTAGTTAATTCTTTTAATAATTTTTCACTGGTAATAAATTAAGTTATAGTCAATACTATTCATTGTCCTGTATTTTCTCTAGTAATTACTCTAAAAGTACACAATAAATAAATTTTTAATTGATCGACTATAATTAATGACAAAAAAAAATAGTTTGTGTAAATAACCGTAATTTATTGTATTGTATGTTGAACATACATTTTTTTAAAATTTAAATTTGAAGTTATGTATTTTTGATCAGTTCAAAAAAGAACACACTACAAAAGAAAATGACACAGGCGCAAAACCTTTGTTTTCGAGTTACCGTAATAATAAATAAACATCTGTAAAATATCTTATGCTTTCGAACAAAGTTTTAGTCCGAAAAAACGAGCAAAACAGATTTACTTACACAATTCACCCATAACAATAATTTTTGTTTAACTGTATATACCACTTACCACAGTAGTCAATGCTGTCGATTCTTTTACTTTTACATAGTAATTGCTTACATTGTTCTGCCAATATAATCGAAGGGTAGATATGAAAATTAATGATACCTAAACAATACCCGTTACACAATACGATAGTATGATTTTACAATGTCGGCGTACCCGTATTCGACAACAAATGGTTTAATATCAGACACATGCAATAATAACATTTTATTATAACAAATACAAAAAGTACACTCAGAACCAAACAGTTTTTTTTTATAAAATACAATAATAATATTAATAATAAAATATTTGTTACTGACAATGAAACTAATTCATTTAAATTATTATTTAAAAATTTGTTTTATAGATTCATTAAAGAATATTAATTATTGAAATTATATTTTTATTTTTAATAACATAATAACCAAACATGTAATGACTTTACAATTTATTTTTAAATTTATAAATTTTGTATGAATATAAATTATTAATTGAACATTTTAATTAAGTTCGAAAATAATTACCCTGTTAAGCAATAAATAAATAATAAATGGATTCTAATAAACTGAAAATGGATTAAAAGAAATTTAGTTTTGCTTTTAATTTTTTTTATTATTAGATGAAAGATAAAAAANTTTTTTCAATTTTTAAGGGTAATGTCTTCAACTAGATACGATTTGTGATCTTTTGACGTATTTTTGAAAGAAATCGGTCCAGTGAGAGCTGAGAAAAAGTGGCAACAGACATAAAAAAAAAAAAAAAAAAAAAAAAAAAAAAAAAAAAAAAAAACACATCATAGTAAAATTAATACCTTCTCCGCTTCGCATCGAAGCTAAAAAAAATACAATTTAAAAATATATTAGAAGAAAAAATGTATTTTTTAACTAATTAATTCAATTAGTCAATAAAATTACTTAGTTAATACCATCATAAAGGACTATCGAAAAATATTTGGTTGGACTCAAAACCAGTTAAAATAATAAAATATTCATAATTTTTACTTTCATTTAAAAAAAAATTAAATATTTGCAAAACTATGCCTAAAAAAATTATAGTAATTTCTATTTCTTAGATCATTATAAACTAAATAATATTTCTTAAATTTTTATCACTGAGAATAATTAAAGAAAATTTTTTACAATTATATTAAGCATATTACCCATTTTTATCTGTGCGCGATATGATAAAAATAGAGCATTTATAAATACTACCTCGCTCCTCAATTTTTCTTCATTTACAAATGCTAATATCTCACTCAAAAAATAATCATACAAAACTGTTTATCGACCAGTCAAATTTATATTTAGACCATTCACCATTTAATATTAAAATAGTAATAGATTCACATTTATCGAATGAAAGTTGCCCCTAAAATCTATCCTTAGGAATATTTTTTTCATGCAATAAATTTCATGTTTACTATGGTTTTTAAAAATAAATCAAACTTTGATCTCTACATTTTTATGAAAAAATCATTATTTAACAAAAAAATGAGTACAGTATGCTTAATAAATCACCTTGTATAATGGAGATAAATTACTTCATAAAAAAATTTTTTTTTTCCAAAATATTGACGAAATGTGGTAAAATTTAGCTTATTTTAAATATTACAGTTCTCTATTTAATACTAATCATTTCAAATTCCGTTTTTGGATGGATTTACACCTGTTTTATTATTAATAAAGGATGATCTGTTTTTACTCATTCATACCACAATATATTTATGTCACTTTAACTTTTTATGTCATACATTATTTTCTAAATAAACCAAATATATAAATATCAATTAAAAATCAAATTAAGTGGTAATCTAGTGTAATACTTTTATCGACTTTTTTTACTAGGATATATATCGGTAATTGTTTTGAATATTTACTCGCTACAGATAGCTACTTTTTATTATTATTATTATTATTATACTCCTACGTGTTTAGTTCATTGGCTGTTATTTGTTTCCATTTCACATGGGATAGATTCTATAGAAATAATCAGTTGTAAAGTTTTATTGACCGAGCTGAAATGCGATTTTGCTCTTTTTCCCTTCCATAAGACATGGTTGGTTTTCAATCGTTACCCATCCATCGTCCGCCACCGCAAAACACAAGACATTTGTACAAGTATATTTTTTCTCAAGACTTATTTTGTTTTTCATCGTACGACGTAACCAATTTTGAACTCATTTCGCATTGATAAACAGATTGGGCGACAAGAAAAAAGCAAAACTATCACAGAGAATACAGATTTCATCGTCCATGACGCATAAGCCCTTTAGGGAAATTTCTTTTGTTTGCAAATGCCATTAGTAAAACTGCCGAACAAGAAAATACGTTTTCTCCTTGTAAACCAACTAAGCGAACATATTTTATTGCACTCATCTTCTAACGAGAGAAGACTAATGGAAAAAAACATTGACCACATAAAACATTTAAATACAAACTTGGAAAATAAGTTTATTTTTTCATTTACAATGTAGCAAATGACTAGGAACAAATATTTAAAACCAGATTTTCCTTGACACATAATATTCTAAAATGTATACATTCATATGTATATATTATATACAAAGTGATTATAACTACTGAAGTAGTTAATAATGGATGTGTATAATGATCGATTTTGGATATGACACATTTTCTAAAAAAACTATTGAAAGTTGATAATTTTTGTAAAAGGAAAAATTATTTGGTTAGAAAACTACAATATTATGTAGACAAATTATTTATTTATTTATCGTTTCAAAAATCTCAGTTTTAGTTCTATAAATGTGAACTTCTATTTTTAACTTAATAATATGATTAATAAAAAAATTACGAGCTATATTGTTCTTATAATTTTTTTTTTAACGAACAATCGTTCATCTGTTACAGTATATTAAAGTTTAGTAAATTAAAATCAATTCATTATTGATATTTCAGTTAAGAAAAAAAGAATATTGTGTCTATAGAATTTATTTCTATAGACAAGGCGCTTTTATGAAACAGAAAAAACTAAGTTTCCCGTACATTTCGAACACATTAGTAAAGTGTATTTTAAAATAAGCTTTTCACGCAAATACACGGTGTCTATTAATACTATTCAACTCATAGTTACAATCGCATATTGTCGGTCACATTTGTAGACAATGTTTATTAATAATTATCATAAAAATAATAATTGGACTTTTTGAAAAAAATCGAAAAAAATTATTGCTTTCCCTAGTCTTATAAAATAAAATTAAGCATAATATTTTATTTTAAACTATCGTAAAACTCAAACGGTTAATAGAATAACAACAATTATAGGAATACAAATTGTGTGTAATTATTATCTATCTTGTTATCAAACTAAATATATAAAGATTCCCATGTAAGAACATTAAAGTTAAGATTTTTTATCCTTGAAGGAATGAAAAAAATGATTTCACCACATACTATTGTAGTTTTTGACTCGAATGATTTTTCTCTTTGCAAAAATTATTAATTTTTAATAACTTCTTAGAAAACAACCAAGTTAACCAAAATTGACCTCCGCGTATACCTTTAAGTATATATGTAGATGTATATTGCTTATGTACAATAAGCCAAATGTTGTTAGTCCAATTTATCAAGTTATGAACTTGTATAACTTTTTACAATTATATTTTGACTTAAACGGTCAAACTAACAGGAAACTTTCTGCTTTATTAATACAAATCTTACTATAAAGTGAAGCTCAGCTGGTATGCCTTTCGTCTTAAGTAATAAACTAAATTTCTGAATATATTAATACGCAATACCGATGTATACAAACTTACCTGCAAGTAAAATCCAGTGCAACACCATCAGCCACGTAACCGCAACTCGGACTCGTATAGTTTGTTGTATCATGTTGAATTACAGTTAAACTTTTCGAAGAGTATTAGAAGAGCGATGATTTTTAAGCCACTCGCAATTTTATTAAAATTAAAAATTAAAAACAATATTTACACCATAAACGTCTTGGCGATTTTTAAAAGAATAAACAACAAGAGTTTTTCTATAATAATTGATTTTTCAGTGATATATCATATTTGATAAATGTCTTCATAGTTAATGGAAACCTGAAAAAATAAGGAATTATTTTACTTCTTATTTATCAATATAAATTAATATTTTAAATATATTTCTTTTGTAATAAGATGAAAATTAATTTGACATTAATAATCAACTCGGTACCAAATATTAATTTAAATTCCAGATTAAAATATATACTAATATATAATTAATATGTAATAATATTAACATTATTATTATGTATATCAATATACAGTAATATTGATATTGATAGAAGTTATTAGTCCTAAAACTAAAAAGTTAGATTAAGGATTTTATTAAATCAATTTCCTTACTTCTGTGAATAAAATATAATTTTTTTTTGTAATATAATATTTAAAATATATTAAATAATATGATAAATATTGATAGTCGAAAAATTATATTTAATTACAATTAGAAAATTCAACTTTATTTTATTAATCAATTAAAAAAATAATCAAAATTTTCTTTTACTGTCAATCTGAATTGCTTTGATACTTATAGTTCTTAGTTATTAAGTGATTATAATATAGCAATTATTTCTAATTTTAAATGTAAAATATCAAACATTCAATTAAATTTAAAGCCGTTTATATTAAAAATGTTTTAATATAAAACTCGTGGAAAAATATAGCTATTGTATGTTATTCAACCATATCAATAATTTAAAAGCGAGACTTTAATCGTCATAGAAAATATAACTTGGAGCAAATATTGAAATTAATAAAGATTTATAAGATAAGTATATTTCAATTTTAAAGCATAAGCTTACTGTTTTTATTAGGACACATTCATAAATTTACTTGTTGATATGAGCCGATAAAATTCATAATGGAAAAACGACGTTTGAAGTACTCTTATAACTGATCCTTGATACCTACTAAATGTATAAAATAACATTTTCAATCTCGAATAAAATCCCAGTGCATCAATGCTAATTTGTTATGTCATCGCATTTACATGAATTTTTGAAGAAATTCATATGTAATTCATAGACCCATTAATCTAATGTAATATAGAAAGTATTTCAGTAGTAATCTAATAAGTCAATAAATGTCTTTAAATGTGCATTTCTTGGAAATTCCATGCAACAGAACAATAATAAAAACTAAATTTAGTTCATTTTATTTAAATTAGAAGAATAAAATTATAATTCAGTTTAAAGTTAATACGTTATTTCTATTTAATGTGTATGAATAAACGATTTTCTTGGAAGATATTAGATAATACGCTGTTTAAAGTATTTAAAATTTTTAATGAATTTCTCATCCACAATGTGTATTACATCCGATGCACTGAATTAATTACACTTAAAAATTAATACCAACTCCTTATTATGGAGCGTTTTATGAACATTATTTTATTAATAACTATCTTCTCGAAATAGGTTCATTCCAGAAGATAGATTTCCATCACAAACCCAAAATACTCGTATTACAAAAAGTTACAGTTACTAACACCAGTAAGAACAGAGCGCTGGTGTAATGTACGACTAGTCGATCAAAAGACCTACTTATGATAAGTTTGTTAGCTTTTACCAAAAAATACAAATGAGAACACAAAGTTTAATCTACCGAAATCCTTTACCTCTGTGAAACCACATCTTATTCCTAGCCATGACAAACACAGCAAATGATTAATTTTCAAAGATATCTTAAAATTACTATACGAAAACAACAAATAAAACCACTTTGTGTTGTCGACTAAAAACAACAAAATTCAACTAAATGCTTAACAGTTATTATAATTATGATATGGTATTTTAACACAACATTCAGTAAAGCTAAATAGTAAAAAACGTATGATGATCGCATCACAAACTGAACACAGCTTAGATGATTGTTGTTATTTAAAAAATCCCCCACATTAATTCTTTTTCGTTCTAATACACTAATGAACTAGTTAATATCATAAATAAATTTTCTATTGCAATTTTGTCACTTTAAACAAATGATAAATAAGTAATTTATATTCGGGCAACTATTATTTTTTATTATTTAGCCATATTATAAGTGATACCAATATTGAAATATGAAGAAAACATTTTTTTCATTTATAATCTTAATATATTTCCAAAATTTTAGAGGATATTAATGTATGTTCAATTTTTGCAATCGCTAAGAAAATACTATTTTAATTTAAAACTTGTGTATTATACAGATGAAAAATATTATATCTCTTAATGAATATTATGGTTCGTTTATCATTATTCGTTTGCTCAATCTTTAATTTTTTTATTATGAGAATGTGATTAAAACAATATTGCGATTTATAAACTATTTTTTTTTCGAACCTAACATTATTATTAAAATGAAACTTAGTAGGGTACATCATAAAAAATTAAACATCAAATTGTTTGTAACCCTTAGAATAAAAAAAATACTATTTCATAGTTAAATATATATAATGTTGTTATTTATTTAATGAATATTTGTGTTAACTAATCTTCTATAATTTTCCAATAGTAATTTTAGTTAATAATCATTTTTAAATACATAATAAAATTAGAAATAATATTCATTTAAATCTTCCTTCGTCTTTCATATTTATTTTATTATTAAACACAAGAAAAATAAGAAGTTAACAATTATAAATTGTAAATTGTTATAATTTATAAAGGATTTATTATAATAATATATTATTTTTTATAAAACAGTGTCATAATAGTCGTGTATACATAATTTGATTTATTAAAAACTATCCTCTAGTAATACAACCTTCAGTAATTTAAATTATTACTTGAATATAGTGATACACAGTTGTATAACATTTGTACTAATTATTAACCTAAACAAATATAATGTTACACTTTGAAACAATTACAAATTAATTCCTACTTGGTAAAATCACATAAGTGTTCGAAATGTTCTATGTAATGTTAATTATTTTGATCCAAAATTATAGTAAATAAAATTTTCTTATTAAGTACTGACATCTAAGTTTGTTTTAAAACGAATGCAATCATCATTCTTGTGATTCATTTTAACACAATAATCATTCATTGTGTTTTAAATTGTGGAATAATTTATAAAAAAAATAATTTCATGTTGACCTTTCAAGGCGTTATCAAATTTCTATTCAGTAGAAAGTAATTTAAGATTAAACATTTGAAAAATAATAAATATTTTGGGTAAGACATTATTTTCAAATTTTAATGTTTACTGCAATGATCTAGAGGGATCCCTGAATATTCCTTATTTAAATTCCTAATTCATACCAGTGATAAAATATCTTGAATAATAAAATAATCGATTTAATACCACTAAATAATGTTTGCTATAAAATCTTTTTCATATGCATCAATGAACTTATATGTTAATTATTTCAAAAGAATAATTGACTAAGAATAATTTATTTATTTTATTTGATGAAAATTACATACTAGGAACGCTTTCAAACAAAATAATTAATTACACATGTCGTTTACGTGTGTTTTCGTGTAAGACTAAGTTCATACATTAAAATTCCTCAATTAGAAAAATGTACATTTCCACAATTGATGTTCTAAATTACATATTCCGAACCTTTGCTACAATAATTTAATTTTCACCTGATCCCTTACTTAACGATTTCTCGTTCTTTTATAAATTAAAATACACAAACTAAAAACTAGTTTCCTGAAATCATTGAAAACAATAATTTTTATTATAAACACGGTTAACAATGTTTTTATGATATCTATTAAATAAAATAAAGGGTTTGCTTGCTACAACAATGACATAAAACCAAGTTTTTTGAAAATTAACTTTTTAACAGAACACTATGACAAAAACATACTTAATAAAGTAACAACAAATAGATATGTTTATAAATATATAGGTTCCATTGAGTTTATTAACATATAAATGAAAAATAAATTAGTTTTTATTTATTTGAAAAATATATCAAAAGTGGATTCATCTGATTGTCACAGTTAGCCATTTAATTACAAACTTGTAGATTTTAAACTTGAATATAATTATAACTATAATTATTTTATTTTTGTAATAACTCATAAAGTTCGAAAAAAATGTATAAAAAATAATACTTGAATTTTTATAATTTAGGTATTGGAAAATTTTCTTGGGCATTTACTTCTTCTTTAGTGTATTGTGTTGAATTCAATTTTGTTTATAGTGATAATACAATAATAATTATTTAAATAATTCGCCAATAAAGTTACTGGTTTAATTCTATTTACACTTATATAAATGTTCTACGGAAAACAAAGAAAGTATAAATCTAATATATAGATTTAGTTATTTTTTTAGATTCTAAATAAAAAAGTTGTAACTTTAAATTTTATTCTGCGGTAAATATTTAATTTTTTTTTCGATAAATACATAATAAGGTTCATTTCAAATACTTTTGTGAAATAAATTCGAGAAATAAAAAAAAAAAAAACAAAAGTTATTAAATTCATTAAATAAATTATTTACATTTTAATTAAAGTATATCTTTCACTTTTTCTTAAGTAATGAAAATAACTACTTTAGTAATAATTTCTTTACTTGCAATAATAAAACTATAAGGAATAATATATTTTTAAGATTATGGTCAAACGTCTTTAATTAAGTATTTNTTCATATTTATTTTATTATTAAACACAAGAAAAATAAGAAGTTAACAATTATAAATTGTAAATTGTTATAATTTATAAAGAATTTATTATAATAATATATTATTTTTTATAAAACAGTGTCATAATAGTCGTGTATACATAATTTGATTTATTAAAAACTATCCTCTAGTAATACAACCTTCAGTAATTTAAATTATTACTTGAATATAGTGATACATAGTTGTATAACATTTGTACTAATTATTAACCTAAACAAATATAATGTTACACTTTGAAACAATTACAAATTAATTCCTATTTGGTAAAATCACATAAGTGTTCGAAATGTTCTATGTAATGTTAATTATTTTGATCCAAAATTATAGTAAATAAAATTTTCTTATTAAGTACTGACATCTAAGTTTGTTTTAAAACGAATGCAATCATCATTCTTGTGATTCATTTTAACACAATAATCATTCATTGTGTTTTAAATTGTGGAATAATTTATAAAAAAAATAATTTCATGTTGACCTTTCAAGGCGTTATCAAATTTCTATTCAGTAGAAAGTAATTTAAGATTAAACATTTGAAAAATAATAAATATTTTGGGTAAGACATTATTTTCAAATTTTAATGTTTACTGCAATGATCTAGAGGGATCCCTGAATATTCCTTATTTAAATTCCTAATTCATACCAGTGATAAAATATCTTGAATAATAAAATAATCGATTTAATACCACTAAATAATGTTTGCTATAAAATCTTTTTCATATGCATCAATGAACTTATATGTTAATTATTTCAAAAGAATAATTGACTAAGAATAATTTATTTATTTTATTTGATGAAAATTACATACTAGGAACGCTTTCAAACAAAATAATTAATTACACATGTCGTTTACGTGTGTTTTCGTGTAAGACTAAGTTCATACATTAAAATTCCTCAATTAGAAAAATGTACATTTCCACAATTGATGTTCTAAATTACATATTCCGAACCTTTGCTACAATAATTTAATTTTCACCTGATCCCTTACTTAACGATTTCTCGTTCTTTTATAAATTAAAATACACAAACTAAAAACTAGTTTCCTGAAATCATTGAAAACAATAATTTTTATTATAAACACGGTTAACAATGTTTTTATGATATCTATTAAATAAAATAAAGGGTTTGCTTGCTACAACAATGATATAAAACCAAGTTTTTTGAAAATTAACTTTTTAACAGAACACTATGACAAAAACATACTTAATAGAGTAACAACAAATATATATGTTTATAAATATATAGGTTCCATTGAGTTTATTAACATATAAATGTAAAATAAAT